AAAAATATAAAAAATAAATGTTTTTATTAGAAAACTATTAAAAAACTATATATTTATTTTTGGAAAAACTATATAAAAATTATTAAAAACTCTAATTTCTATATTCTATAAATACCCTACTCTTATAACTATTTTCTATTATTCTTATTATTATTCTTATTATTATTCTTATTAGAATTCTTTTAAGAAATAGGTAGTAAATTAGCCTATAAAGCTATTAGCTATTAGTAAGAAATAAGAAAGAAGTAAGCTTATTTAATATTAAAGAATATTAACTATATTATTAAGAGTACTTTATATTTATACTAAGCTAGTAAGAATTACTTAATCTATTCCTTGAATTATTAGGGAAATTTATTAGCCTCGAATAATAGCTTTAATATAAGAAGTATATATAGTTTAGTATAGAAGAATAATAATAATAGCCTTTTTCCTTTTAGGTAAAGAATAGAGAAGACATTTATATATATTAATGGCTTAAAAAAGGCGGTTTAACCGTATTATATATACTTAAGGAACCTTGAATAGTATTAGAATAAGAAATAAAAGAAGGAATTTATAACTTATAGGATTATACTTCTTATTCTTAGAATAGTAGTAATTATATATTAAGTAATTATTACTCTTAATATAAGTAAGATTAGGAAACTTAGTAATATTCTTGGAATATTAAAAATAGTAAGGGCGAATTAAGGATATAGGAGTATTGGCTAAATAGGTAGTAATAGGCTAATAAGTACTAAGAGAAGTATTTATTTTAATAAATAAAGAAGTAAAAGAGGGAATTAGAAAGGGACTTAAATAAAGCTTAAATAAGGTTTAAAGAAGCTTAAAGGAGCTTGAAGAAGGCTTGAAAAAAGAAGGCAAGGGATAAAGAGAAGCTAGGTATAATATTATAGTTAAGGAAAAAAGAGGCCTTTTTATAATACCCTCTTCCCGAATAGTAATTGCGAATTTGGAACCGGCTTTATACTAGAAACACCCAGAAAATTCCAAAGAAGGAATTTATAAATAAACCAGAAGATCGGATTAACTTTTCTAAGCTCTTGGGCCTATAGAATAATAATTTATTTGCAAATAGAGGCTAAGTTGGGATTTATAAACTAATTAGGAGATCGGATAAGCTTTATATCCGATAATATATATTATATTTATATTACTTTTATAAGGGGAAATTACTAGAGGCAATTTGCAAACTAGCTAGTATTATGCTCTGCCGCTTTACTAGGAAATTTAGTATCACGTAATTACTAATAATGCATGCGGCTAGCTAGTATTTAGAATACTAAAGCTCCTATATATATAAGCCTCTTTCCTTAGTTTAGAATCCTCGGATTAAGAGCCACTCTATCTTACTTTCCAAGCCCAGAGCCCGGTTTCGTAATAGCTAGGAAAGGTTAGTAAACTATATTTTTAATTCTATTATCTAATATAATAATAGAGTAATTATAAAGAATTTTGGGGGAAAGCTAGTAGCCAAGAAAGTTTCAGGGAAATATTTATAAAGCTATTTATAGTTTTCTCAGGCCTCTTGGGAATAAGGGCCCAGAAAAAGAGTTAATATAATAAGTATATATAATAATATATAGATAGGTATTAGATATTATAGATTTAGTTTCCTATTTTAGGTATAGCTTATAATCGGAATTATATAGATTATATAGGATTTCCTAATTAAGTAAAGGGCTTTATATATCTAGCTAAGTACTAGGAAATATATAAGAAGATATTCCTAGCTTTAGAAGAAGTATTAATTAGTTTCTTATTAGAATTAATTCTTGAAATTAGTTATACTTATAAGTATTATTCTATAGCTTACTTACCTTAACTATTTATATATTACCCTACTATTATATATTTTATATTTTATATAAGTTATTTTTTTTATAAAAAGAAATCTTATTTTTATTAATTATATACTTTTTATAATAAATATTTTAATTAAATATTTTTAAGAAATAATTATAAATCTTTTATTTTTATTTTTTCTTCTTATATAAGCTTAATTAAATATAATATAGGCTAAGTTTAAAAATAAAAATAAAAATAAATAGTTTCTTATATAGTTTAATATTATATATACCATATTTAATAAATATTATATTAGAACTAATCTTTTTCTCTTTTATATTATAATTTTAATTCTTAATTCAGGCTTTTATATAAGATATATTAGAGCTAATTAGCTAAAGAAATATATAATTCTTATTTTTATAAATATAAAGAAATTTTAGAAATACTATAAAGATTAAATTATTTCTTTTTTATATAGTAAAAAGCTATCTCAAGAGCTATTAATACTTAACTTCTTTAATTAGATTATTTAATCTTTTTATTTAATTATATAATCCATAAATAAGAATTATAAGAATTATAATTTCCAGAAATTATATAATATTAGTAAATAAGGGGCCTTAGTTTAATAAAGCTAGGATATATAAAAGAAATACTAGTAAAGGCTTTTATTTATAGCTATTAATATTTTCTTAATTCTTCTAATAAATAATAAGCTAGAAAGAGTTTTTTTTTAAGAATATACTATATAGTAAATTAAGATAAAAAATAAATAGAAATAGAAATAATAAAAATATTAGAAATTAAAAAATATTTAAAATATTAGAAAAGAACTAGAATCTTATAAATCTTTTTTAAAACTAGCTAGTTTAAAAGAAATATATATCTTTTAAAATCCTTATATAATTAGAGAATTTTCTAAATATTATTTAAATTTTCTAAATTTCTAAATTATAACTCTTATTTAAAAGCTATCTTTCTTATTTTAATTTCCTTTTTCCTTTATTAATATTACTATTACTTATATAAGAACCTCTTATTTCTTTTTATTTCTTGTAATTATATTAATTATATAATAGTAATATATTAAATAATTTAGCCCCTAATAGTAATTCCCTTATATAGCCTCTTATTTCTAGTTTTGGCCCTATAAACCCAAACTAGTAATAAGCTTTTAATTCTTAATTCTATTTATTATATAATAGCTAATATCTTTAAATATTTCTAATCTTAATATAAACTAGCCTCTTTCTTAAAGCTAATAAATAATAGATATTATAAACTAATAATTTATATCTTTTATATAATATCTTATTCTTTATTATATAATAATTAATAATAATAAGCCTTTATTTTTTCTAGCTAGAATAGAATTATTAATTCAAATTATATTATAATTAGTTAAGTTCTTATATAATAATAGTTCTATATTAATATAATAGCTATTTCTTATATTATATATATTTATACGGGATTTAATAATACTATTTTCCCTAAATATATCCGGATTATAAATATATAGAATAGTTATTATAGTAATTACAAGTAGCCAGATTATATTATAAGCTATTACTAGAAAGGAAATAATAATAATAATAATAGTAATAGAGAGATTAGTATAAGAGATTATAAAGAATATAGTAAATATAGTAAATATAATAGAAGTAATAGAAGTAATAAAAGTAGCTATATAAAGCAAGAATGAATTATATAATATAATATAGTAAAAAAGACTTCTTATAATAATAAAGTTACTTATAATAGTACTATAGCTTAATAAAGGCCTTTCTGAAATTATATAATAGTTTTTAGTCTCTTAATAATATAATTAATAGAAGTCTTTATAAAATAATAAGAATCTACAGGGATTAGCTCGCTTAGGAATAATTGAAACGTTCTATTACTGCCCGTTCCAGACCCCTGGAACGAATCGGCAGAAACTAATTAGTCCGGAATATCGCCAAGCCTGCCTGCTTCCCTCCTTCAAATCTACTCCATCAAACGCCCTCATGTGCCGGCCTCAAATCCGACCTTCCCCAATCTGGGCTCATTCTCACCACCAGTCATGTTTATATAGAACAGTAACAGTTCACCCTTCCACCTCGAACTTCCCCTAGAGTTAAAGCCAATTATCACATTTGAACTTCCTCGCAGGAACTAGCCAGAGAGCTAATTCCGGGAGTTCTAAGCCTTATATAAGGCAAGTATACTTTTTCACTTTTTATAGTAAAACTATTTTTATATATATATTTATATTTATAAAGAATATTATATTTATAAAAAATATTAAAATTCATTATTTTATAATATAATTAATATTTTTTAAAAGAAATTGGGTTTTAGTTATTTATATTATAAGTTATAAGTTTATAATTAGGGTCTTTTAATTAAAGAAATTTTTATTAAACTTTATAAAATAAATATAATTTGTTTTATATTAAACTTAAAACTAGTAATTTTTATATTTTATATAAAGTAATTATTTTTATAAAGTAAAATACTTGCTTTATAAATAATTGCTTTTTTTAATTATAAGTAAAATAAATATAGAAAAATAAATTAATAATTATATTTTAAGCTTTTATATATTTATATTATTATTTAATACTTCTAATATTATATTCTATTATTAAATTACTAGTAATATATAATATTATTATATAGTTATAAAATACTAATTATATAAATTAGTAAAGTAATTAATATTTAGAAGTAGGAGTATAACTACTAGTATTATATAATTAGTTTTAGTTAAAGGAATTGGTTTTAGCTAAGGTTCAAACCAAGCTCGGCGTTTCAGTAGTCTTGGCCATATCTACTTATCCACTGCCACACCTCACTCCTTTTCTTCTTAGCTTTAGATCCTTAAGATACTGAAATTATAGATCTTTATATCTCGTTCTATTACTTTATTCCTGCTATTACAGGAAGTATAGTATTATAATATTAATATACTTCTCCTAAATTTACTAAGCCTAATCGGAACTAGTTTACTAATCAAGTTATATATATAAGGTTATATAACTTTCGAGGTACTAGCTATAGCTATAATTATAGCTATATTAATATTTATATTATATTTTATAGTAATTTTTAATTATATTTCTTAATAATATATATAAATAGAGTCTTTATAAATTACTTAAGAGTATATTCTTATTTAATTATATAATTTATATATTATATAGTAAGGAGCTATAATAAAGGGGCGCGACTAGGTGCCCCTGTGCCCCTGGCCTATTAGTAAGCTCCTAGTATTGGTAGAGATAAGCTTTAGAGCTCCCAGAAATAGCATAAGGGTTAGTTATTCACACATGTTCGCCAACCAAGCGGAAACCAAACAGGTGCTCTTAGAGACGTCCCTCGCGCTCCTCAACTCCTCCTGGCTCATCATCTACCACGCCTGCCACTGCGACCGGTTAAACATCTGGGAATGTGATGCCCCAATAGGGGCCAACCACTGGTGCATCGGCCAAGACATCTCCAACGACTTCAATCTCGTCGGTCTGCGCGAAGGGTACTACAACGGCGTCCTCACGATGATCGACCACGCGATCCCCTCAGAAATATTCCGGCCCAAGCCACTGCAATGACTACGACATGTTGGTCGTCGCTCCAAACAGTGGCAGCGACCAGCTCGTTGGCAAGGGTGCCTCGACCGGCGAGTATCGCCCATACTTCAGTCCCTGGGCCATGGTCGCTTCGCCACTCCTCATCGGCCCCGAAGTGCGGGGAATGGACAACCAGTCCCTCAACCCTCACGAACAAAGAAATCATCGCTATAAACCAAGATCCACTCGGTCAGTGGGGGAAGTTGGAAGGCTCGGGGTATAATGGAACGTTGCAGAACTACGCGAAGAATTTGTCAGATGGGAGCGTTGCTGAGTTGGGGCAGCATGACGGCCGCGATGGCGATGCTTCCGCCGAGTTGCAAGAAGTGGAAGAAATGGAGGGCGAGGGATCTTTGGGTGCATAAGGATATGGTGACGTGGAATGGCATGCATTGGGTTGAGGTTATGAGTCATGAGGTGAAGATGTTGAGGTTGTGGCCTGTTTAGGTCACTCGATTGACCAGCTATCACGCTGGTTGCAGGTATAATAGGAGTCGAGAAACTTCCCTCAATTTCATCTCTTCGGTCAAACTGCGCATCAGGGTCACCAAGTGTCACTGACGCCAACTCAGAAGAAAATCCACCAGAGTTGTAACAAACAGACTGCATTTTGTCACCGTAACTTTTATGCTCATTGGAGCTCCACGCAATTTCGATTGCCGAAATCAAGCCAAATCACCACAAAACTTACCGCCCAGCATGTGCTCCTTGCAATAATCCCCAGACCCTAGACATCAACGGCGCAGTGATCCTTTCGCTATTCACAGGAGAAACGCACAACTTGCTCACTTCTTGACTGCGTTCGCGAGATCAGCCAATGCCTCTCTGCGCTTGAACTTTGCGTCCTCGATAACACCTAGAAATAAACATTAACTGTCGAACTCCGAGAAAGGGCGGTAGGTGATGGCATAATGAACTACCATGAGAGAACAAAAGGGAGCACGTACCGGCATCAGCATCACTGGAGAAATTGCCTGTCCATTGAACGAACGTCTGTCCCTCGTGGTGGCCGGATGTGATAGGGAAGAGGCGAACGGTGCTCACGACGCTGGAGTAGCTGAGTTGCGGCTTGGCAGAGATGACGGAGTAGGTTATGTAGTGGTCGATCGTCTGTCATTCGTCAGCATAAGGCTCGCCTTTACCATCCACCTCCCCTTAACCTTTCTCCAGCTCCATCGAAATTGATATGAAACAGACAGAGAAAGGGGAAGGGACAAAGGGGGAACAAACGCACCGAATGAGCCTCAAGCTTAACTTCCAACTCGGTCCCATCCTTGAAAACCCACTTCACAATATCCGTATCTGGGGAGGTATCCTTGACAGTCTCGGACTTGACCAAGGCGGTCCAGAAGTCGCTGAAGGACTCAAGCTTGATGAGGTGCCAGACGGAGCTGAAAAGGGCAGAGATGACGGCTGATTCGGTGACGGAGGTGGAAGTTGGGATGCGGGAGGCCATTTTGGTTCTTTGCTTAGTTGGGTGTGAGGAAAGGGATTGGGATGTTGTTCGGTGGTTGGTAGTTGGATTGGGGGTGAGTGGAGGTGAGGTGGGGTTTGAAGGTTGGAAGAGAGGAGGAGTGGTGGTGTGATTTGAGGGAAGTCGTTTGTAATGTGGGGGAGGGGTTGTGAATGACGTAATCTGGCTGCATGCTACCTTCTACATGCAGATGGTGGAGCAGTAAGACAAAGAAGATGGAATCAGAAGTGATGAATCTTCTGTGGTGCAGAAGGAGGTGAAAATAAAGAGTTTTCAAGTCGTGGGTGAACGTATTGATTTGATGAAGTAGGGGAGACTGTTGCGGAAGTCACGTGCATCAAGGTTTCAAATGGGGCTGGACCCCGTCCCTCGCATACGGTCATACTACGTACGTACCCAGGAGCGCCTGCAGCTTCTACATTCAAAACGGTTATATCTCCAACACTCCCACTTGTTGGTTGTTGGTAGGGACCAGCTTAGCACCCCATGAAGCATTGAAGCGGAAACACGTTTCCGACCAGCCCGATGAAGCTGAAGCAGATTGATTAACTGTGAAGAGGTCAGGGGGCATAATTTGACAGAATAATTGGATTATCCCACATACTGCCCAGCATTAACCAAGATTCGCCTTTTTAGTAATTTCCATGTATTCTTCCAGTTGGGAGAGGATCCTTCCATATCAAGGCTGTCCCACAATTACCCCTAAATGTCTCGCTTATCTTGCCAAAAACAGATTGGCGCAAGACCATGTGAAGCGATGAATCGTTCACCTGCTCGATGGGCTCACTCTAAAGTGATTTTTTCAACCTTGCTCCACTGGATTAATCTTTCCTTCCGATCTTAGAAAGCTCAAGGAAGCCAGTACGGAAACAAGAGCCGGAATCCTTTCGGCTCGGGACTAAACGAGGACCAAAGCAGGCCCAGGTGTTACCAATCAATAGACGGTAGGCGTCTATTGTCATGGCCTTCCATCCATAATTCATTTCGTTTGAAATTTCACTTATATCTCCTCAAAGTTGGCTCGAATCGTCTTGGAGTTGCAAGACACTGGCAGTCGTGAATGCTTCACTAATGGGTTCATATCCTTCGACAACTACTTCAATAATACCTCCTTTTAGAGTAAAAATTGCACTTTTGAAGCGTACGAAATGGCTATATGGATTGCAATATCAGCAGCGCGTCTCCATGGCTCTCCATTCCATAGTTCTATTCCGAGGACTGAGTCGCAGCAATATCAAATAAGACTTCGGGTGTAAATGTGTCAGGTCAGCTGTTTCACGCTCGTGATCCTCCTTGTTCTCTTGGATGAAACAAAGCGAGTCTGTTCATAGATATCGGCAGCCTATTGAATTAGTGAAGTCGAAAGCATCCCGATATGTCTTCAGTAGCATCGTCCAGGAGATACTGGGTGGCGCGTTGCTGGAGTCTCTTGCTTAGTTGTAACGGTATGTCTTCCCCATCGGTGGCTCATAGTCATAAACCACCCCCTGCTCCGTTAGTTTCTGCCAAGTGAGCTTCATAACCGTCAGGGCCGCCGTCTAAGACTTGTAAGAGAATCGGGGATTGAGCTCCAGAGTGCCAAGAAGCTGGAGCATGATTCTTTTCGCAGTGTGAAATCCACTTTCTTGCGAACGGTGAAGCAATATTGCTCCAGTCTGCCCTGATAACACCACCTGAGCCTTGAGACAAGGGTAATTCCCATAAGCTCCTGACAAGCTTCACGAACCTTCCCATAGGGTTCCAGCGAGTGCAGAAGTGCTCTCTCACCTACATGACCCCGCCAACCGCTCGCTGCGCATCACCTGCACTGGGAAATCGGGCTCTTGATCCCGGGACATGCACACCCTCTCTCTAAACTGTCCATGGAAGCGTATATGACGTTTAAATCCAACATCCTCAAATATTCTCAAACGTCCTCTTCGTCAACTTTACCCGTATTGTTTGTCTACGGGGCTCTTGGCATATCTGGTTGACATAATGTTAACATTGAACAAGCTTCAAGCTTCAAACCTCAAGAAAATTTAATTCCAATGACGTATTGTTCTGATAATGTTGCCCACTTAAAATAATTGCCTAAGTTAATTGTACAGTAACACTAGCAGACGATAAGGGAATCTGCCAGCCCAATCGAGTTGTTGTGATTCCAGCGGTCGCAACCGAGTGGTTCCTTGTCCCAGTAGTACTTTCCACCCACAGCACCGCATTCGCCGCCACTGGTACATCAGAAAGCTGTGAAAGAGTAATGCTGATTGCGCAGGTTCCGGGCACGTACCTGAAGTTGTTGATAATACCCGCATCAACAGTAATCAAGACCCCTAGCGGCCCGATGAAGATCCTCCGCACTGGGTCCGCCGTCTGCACACTGACGGAAGTACCTGAGCTTGTCAGCACACCACCATATGCCACAAGTCCAACATCACTATCCTGCACGACATATGTCCGGGTACCAAGTACGAGACCCACGAAATTTGGCCCGTAGTCTCCGCTGAAGCCGTCCCATTTCAACGTATCGGGCCAAGAGTGGAAAGATGCAGCGGCAAAACCATCCTGGTTGATGCTGGAGACCGGCCCGCTAGTTCCACCATACCCAACGCGCAGGAGGTAGGAGTCTGATGGGTTACTACGGAACGCACTAAGCAGAACGAGAGCGTTCAATCCGGATCCGTAATGGTGGATTTGACGCTCAATGCGGCGGAGCTTGCCTCCGTATCTACACATTAAGTTGTCAGAAGTTGAAATCAGGGCAATTGGGAATAGGTGTTGATGAGAATAGAGGTAAAGGATTCCCACATGTTGTCCCAGTATCGTCGAGCATTGCCGTTCCATCCCCAGTGCGGCACGGTTGGCATGTATCCTAGCACGCTGTTCACGGTCTTCGTCACTGTGCTAGTATATCCGAAGTACCTAGTAAAGTAGTTAGCTTCAACACCAGAGTAGGTGTTTATCATACGAAGTTAAAGGGTGCAGATAAGAGATACCGACGTAAACTCACTTTGACCAATAGTACACGCCTTCCTGTCCCGTTGAGTCCCAAGCCATCTCACTGCCAAAAGGCACTGCCTCGGTGTTCCACTGATCCGCTCGAGACTTCATTGCTGCCGTTAGAGCCTGCGCCTGAGACGAAAGACCCTCACGAGTGAGATCGGTAAGGATCTCGCCGAAAACAGTCTCGCCCATGAGTCCGTCTTGATTATAAGCAATATCGTCTTGCATAGCTCGAATAATTGTGCTGTAAGATTGGTTGAGATACCAATCCCAAGTGTGACTCTTGATGAGGCTAGGGTACGCCCTTCCAGCACGGTATAGACCCCAATATGCGGCAGCGACATGAACGTAGTCGTAGGCACGATCAGGTGTATATGCTGAAGCTTTGTTCCAAGACGTCCAGCTACTCCAGTCCATACTACTGTCGTAAGTATACCCAGGAACAGCATCTGGCTCGTAGAAGAAAGTACTTTTCCTAACTGCAAAGTCGAACGTCTGAATTGTCTTCCATAGAACGCCATCTATGAATGACTCAAGTTTCATGATTTGACCTGCATTAGGATGTGCTGCTTGCTTCATGCATGCGGCGAGGAAGGAACCCGCACCAGCCTCATCGCTGAGACCAGCCACCCAGGCTCTTGAATCTTGTTGAAGGATTGATCTTGCTTCATAGTCATAAGTCATAACCGAGGGAGCGCGGCCAAAAGGATCCGACGTGTTGGTGAACCATTGATCTGTCGTGAGGGACTGGCCAAGATTCGCGATCGCCTCTGTCCCCGGCTTTGTAACATAATAGTGTATCGTCTGAACTTTCCCGTCCGCATAGGCCACAGTCAATCGCACACGACCCCACGCACTCCTGGAAGGTGTTACCGTATAGTGTCCATTACCAGTCGAATCCGATGCCAAGGCACCTGTGGGTTTCACGGTAATTGAGTTGACAGCAGACCACCCCTGGAGGAAGAGGTCGGCAGCCGTGCCTCTGGGGATGATATACCCTGGGACTCCGTGAGCAACAGGCATTCCGATCCCTCGAACTGTTGAGTCGAGATCTCTGACGCCGCCCTTCGCCACGGAGAATCGGAGTCCAAACTTCAGCGACCCGCCCGGCTGCAGCGTTCTTGAAGAAGGCTCATTCCACGGCTCTTTGCCAGCCCACTCGTTCTCAGCCCAAGCCTTGCTCAATACTTGCCACTCGTAAAAGCCTTCAAAAACCTGACTGCCGTAGGCGGTGTCATCGTAGTAGGTCTCTTCCAGATTACGGTAGGCCTCCATCGGTGTGTCGCCAAGAGGCGTGACTACGAGCGCCGGACCATCCCCACTAGTAGGCGCAACGCGAATCTGGCCTGCGTGCATCCCAATGTACGGGTCGGAGAGGGAACACAAACGTGATATGTCGATAGCTTGACGGTTTGTGAAAATGCTGTTGAACTCTGCGGGAAATCCCAGGCTTCCGATCTCGATGGCTGAGTATCCCGAATTGACAATAGTAAACTGGAGACCAAGGTCGCCGGACACATTGATCCATTCCCGCGTGATATTCAATGGACCGGTAGGAAGTGTGGGTGTAAGCCCTGACGCTGCCAGTGCCCCCGTTGAAAGTGCAGTCACTTTCTTTCGCGACCTGGAAGAGTCGCCGGTGATCCAGGTTGTGCTCCCAGATGTGCGGTACCGAAAGGTGATGTCTCCCCCGTGATATTGGCCATTCTTGGCTCGGAGAGAGAGGTAATCGAAGGGGAGGAAGTCAAAAGTCCCTCCTGCTGGCTTCAACGATGCAAGTACTTGAGCATTGCGGACGATTTCGGCATCAAAGTTAGCAGTAGTAAGGTTTATATAACCGTCGGGAAGACCCAACGTATCTCGACACAAGACGGCAGAGGTAAGAACCGAAACCACAACGAGGAAAGAACAGAAGATTTGAGACATCATAATCGCATTCGATATCTCGAGCTTCAAGCTGATTGTATAGAGACCTAGACAGGAGTAGCGAAGTGGCCAGCATTTAATACACGCAAGTTAATAAGAGCAACAGCGTTTAAAAATAAATTAGAAAAAGCGAATGAGTTGAAGATTTGCATTAATATAATAAATGTTCCTCCTTTGTAAGTGGACCTGGTAGTGCCGGGATGAAGGCAGCCCCTCATATGTAAAAATGGCCTTAGTGGTGGATTAACTGATGAATTTATATAGCCTGAGGAGAAACTCCATTCCACAGGTTCATTTGGGGAAGGAGGATACGCAAGGATACGAGGGCACGATTAAAATTGTCAACTTTTGATAAGGCACGAATTCCCTTATCGAAGTATTTAAGCGACATGTCTGGCCCTTCAAAAGGTGACTTGTTGTGTTTCAGCCTACGTGCCTTAAAGTTTAGTAGGAAAAGCTAACCTTACTAAACTGTGGCAATTTTAATCATATCGAAGGGGCCAATACGGAGGTTCCGCACAAATTAAAGTGAATAGGGGTCAAAGCCGGTAAGAGCCCCTACGAAAGCGCACGGCATTGAAATCCGTCCAACTCGATAAGCGAGGACGGGCGCAATTTTAATGCTCCATTACAAAAATTCTCATAATTCCGCCTTATATTCTATTATTATAAAAATTTCGCCAAAGTTAGATCTGCTTCTTTTCTATTACGTAAAGCACTTTTGAAGAATTTTGGGCGTTCCATTGAGATTTGGTGTGATTTTCTGAACGTAGCGATTTTGGTGTTCCTCGCATTTTGGCAGCCACGGCAGCCTGTATTTTCTTTACTTTGTGCCGGAACCTTCGCACCGCCGAAACGGATCTGATTAGCCGGATCCTAACAAATTCAATTATTAGCCGGATAAACTCTATCAACAATATAAATATACATTAATAAACCAGACGAGAGAGCCCAAAGAAGTAGTTGGTTGAACCCTTGTACATAATATAAATTGTTCCCAGGTCACAGTAGAGGTTTAGTGCGAGCTATATAACTATAGTACCTAGAATGAAGCCTGCATTTCTTTCATCAGAGTCCTTCTGTTCGCCTTTCCAATCACTTGTCATTATGGCACCCTACGTCGCACTTGCCTTGTCGCTCGTAGTCGGATCTTTTGCTGTCGCATCCTCACAACTGCGCCACCACACCACAACTTTCACATCAAAGGGAAACCCAATTCTGGCCGACGGATCTATCTACTCAGCGGACCCTGCACCGCTTGTAATCAATGAAACCGTCTACATTCTATTTGGTCGGGACAAGGCGGGAGCTACTGAAAATAACTTCATCATGAATGAATGGCAGATTTTCGAGGCCCAAAGCCCGGATCCCAGTGGAGGTAGTTGGACACTTCATCGAGATGTAGCACGGCCTCATAAGTTATTCTCTTGGGCAAAAACGGGTACAGCTTACGCAGGTCAAATCGTCCAGGGTGCGAACGGAAAATTCTACTTGTATGCTCCCGTCACTCAGGCCAACAGCACGACTTCGGATCCTTTTGCCATCGGGGTAGCAGTTTCAAGCAATGTACTTGGGCCCTTTACTGATGCTCATTCTTCCGGTCCGATCATATCACAAAGCGTGCCACTCCCAGGTGATACCATCCAGAACATTGATCCAACAGTTTTGGTCGATACCGATGGCCGGGTGTTTATTTATTTCGGAACATTTGGCCAGCTCAGGGGCTATGAGTTAGCGTCAGACATGGTTACAATCCAAGGCTCGGTCACCACGGTCACCTCTCTCACGGGTTATTTCGAGGCTCCGTGGCTCATGAGACGAGGTACTACGTACTACTTGTTGTATGCGGCCAACAACGCTGGAGCAAGCTCGCCATGTACCCCGACCAGTTATCACGCCTGTATAGCATATGGGACCGCATCAAGCCCCTTAGGTCCGTGGACCTTCCGCGGCATCGTTCTTGATATAGTCTCATCTACGACCTCACACCCTGGTGTATACCAGCTCTGCGGTGAATGGTTCATCACATACCATACGCGCGATGCCGTAGGTGGTACTCATTTCCGGCGCAGCATTGCCTTCGATAAGCTCCAATGGGATGATACAACCTCTCCACCTTCAATTCTGAAGGTGAAGCAAACTCATCGTCCGGCACCGGCTCACACGCCAACTCGTAATATCGCTCCACGTGCCATGCCATCGTCTACCAATACCACCCCAATCCAGTATTGGATCAAGGCTATCAACGATGGGCGTGTTGAAGCGAATCCACTGCCACCTGACTATTGGTGTTCTTACGCCGCAGAGGAATCGCCGCAGACAAGTACGTTAACGTATAAATGGAACACAACGGTGCAGTTGAATGGTGCAACCATGGCGTTATTTGCAGATCAACCCGCGGGATCTAACATCGGGGTACCACCGCCAGCGTCATGGAAGATGGAGTATCTCACATCTGTGGGGTTATGGACAGCGGTTTCGGTGACGAGTTCTGGAGGTTATCCAGTTACTGTCACTGATTCCCCGAAAGAAGTCTGCTTTCAGACGGTATCGACTACTTCGTTGAGGGCAGTACTGACGGCTTCGGGCTCGGGTGGTCAGTACGGGGGAGTAGGTGTCAAGGAGTGGGCAGCGCTTGCGCCAACTCCTCAATGATAAAGAAAAATTGAAAGCACTCGCGAAAACATTTCGTGTTGTAGCCATGCTCCATGGAATAGCTTTGGAGAGACTTACAATAGTTGTAGCCAATAAGCAGAAGAATGAAGTGTGGCTTCATTCCGTATTCACACTTATATGTGCGACATTAGTGGTCACGTGCTAGTAACTGGTTCCGTCACAGGTAATCGGAGGATATGATGTTGATCAATTGATGGTGTGCGAGGAGTGATAAGTACAGCTAGTGTAGCTCGCTAAGGAAGGCACAACCACGGTCACAGATACTAAGCTTAGCTCCTATTCCTATAAATGGTTACTTAAGCTATATATAAGGCGATAGCGCCTCATGACTAACGCTAAACCTAGTGTTGCTGCAAAGAGTAAGCTATATTAAAAATGATTAAATAAACTTCAGAAAGTATAAATATAGGCTCTCAATCGAATTCCAATGTCTCTCGAACTTTGGGAAGCTTAAATTTGCCCACAGGAGAAGAGAATATAACATTTTGAATGGCACTGTTCCCCAGGCTGCCTTGATTGTGCAAGCTGACATGCCCTTACGAGGTTAGTGCCCCAGAGTCTCTTAACCACCAGAGGTTTGACTGCCGCACGAAGGGTTTGAATAGTTATAGAATTGGTGCATGATCGTGGGCAGGGAGCTCGGGGTACAGAAATGCTTCGCTTCATTAAATATTTCAAAGATAGTCCATACATAGTCGAAGCCCGTAAAAATCCATTGAGTCAAATGAGTGGTTGAGAATCGCTCGTCTTCCAGTGCCAATTGCACCTCATGTGAACCCTGTAGAAACTACCTATTCAAGGACCACCGAATGAATTCATTGGTGTCTCTTGCTCAAGGGTTTGGTACTCTCAGATATGCCGCAATTCCTCAAGAGCGACTTCTTCTCCAACGACACCGTACAAATTTGCTTCTCCATCACTGCCTTCCACTTTCGCTGGTGCTCCACGTTTTTTGAAACCATACCAACGGCGCTGGTTCGAGTTGTTGTTGTTGTTCGTGGAATGAAGTGAGTTCAACTCCCTGGTCTTGTTTTTGAACATTGGAACGCCGAATCGATTCAAAATCTGCTCAACCGGGGACTTCAAAAAGGGAGCGCAAGCAGATGCTATGAGAACGAACTCCTCAATCCGACACCATATGAAAAGAACCACCATTATCCTTAAGGAATCGTTGATAGTCAAATTATACGCCCGCAAGTAGTAGAGTTTGAGTACTGCGGCACCAGTTGCAAAAAGACCAAGTGCCATCAAAACAGTTATGAGGATCCGCTCAAGCAACGGTCGATTCAACTTCCAGACGAAGAACATCGGCATAATAGCAAAGGTCAGATCGCTGCCTATGCTAATTCCTGTTAACTTCTTAGTGTATATCCATGAACGAGTGTATCGAGTTCTCTTACCAGCAAAGACATAACCATATATCCATGACTCAATTGGATCCCAGCACCTGGCGTGGGGGACAACATCCCACATGGCATGCAATGGACGACACCGGATGAATTGACAGATATTTGACCCAAACGCTGCTCCCAACTGAAAAACAATTGCAACCCATAGGATTACTTTCCATGAAGTAAACATAGCCTTATCCAATCGCAAGAGCATACACGCTACTGAGATTCTTGCGAGTGATAACACCCAGAGTCCCAGGACTTCAATACAGAAGAGGCAACGAAAGATGTTGACTTTGTCTTTTGCGGTCAAGTAGTAGTTGTGACGTCCGAACCCTTTGGTAACTGCTGCTACCATTGCAGAGAAAACGATGATTTCTGCAACCTTTTTGAGCAGTTAGCCTGTAGTTTATTTTCCATTGTGCCCATGTTACGACTTACAACGGCTCCGGAGATAAAGTAGTCTGAAATGTCCAACTTATTTGCCGGTCGCAACCGTGTATATATCCTCAGAGAGTAAAACATGATGGCCATAGCAAAAACAATTGAGATAATGGCTAGCGCCTTTGGTCCGGTGGTGGTGTTTCCATCAGGAGGAGCTTGTTGATTCATGATTGGCGAGAATGTAAGATACCCGAACAAAGTTATGAAATAATTGCAAGTTTCAAGACCGAATTGTGGACATTTACGAGGTCAGCAAGGTCGGTCTGTGAAAGCCATGGGCTGTGAAGTTATTTAAATGCAGGCTTCCCACGCTCACTCTTTCACTACCACACCAACAAGTGAAATTTAGGGGCAGGAAAAAGAAACAATCATTCTATCCGAGGTAATCTACCACTTGGGGTTTGCCGTTTTTCTGCCCCGCTGCCCACTTGACTCGCGTGGGCGAAGCCACTCGCTAAATGCGCTTTGTTTCATGCGTGATCCGCGACCACGGGGGTGGGAGCGACTTTTGATCGTACAGTACCCCCCCCCCCCCCCCTGTTCATATGTTAGTTTGCCACTCGTGTGGCATCCAATCAGATTGTCAATATGTACTTTTCGAGATGTCTGATTTGCTCAAAAATCCCTGGCGATTGACACGAGCTAACATATGAACAGGGGGGGGGGTACTGTAAAAGGGTTCGTGCAATGATCAGTCCTTGTGGAACCCGTTTACCCGCAAACTTTGTTATTAGCGCCTTACCAAGCAGAAGACTGAATTAGGGGATATAATTGGGCCGTAAAATGCTGGCGTCTACTTCATACAAAGTAGAGTTAGAGTCGTCCCCCGGCCGAAAGGGGCGTTGCTTGATCCATTTTGTCTCTTGCTCACCTAGCGTTAGATTGAGACGAAAATAATTTGAGTGGCAATTGTTAGCAGAATGATTTAATCTTGATTGAAACAGAATTACCTGAATGAACAACCTTTTTTTTACAACACGACTTTCCCGTCTACAATCTCATTTAAAAATACCATAATGCCAAAGCGCCAATAGGGAACATTTATTCCGTAGATGTGTTCTAAAAACAGGGCGAAAACTTGAGGATGTGAAGGCGCGTTCTGCGCTTGAAACGGGTTCAAGCGGGGCTTCAATTAGGACTTTGATTGGTGTGGCTTTTGCGAATCAATCGAGCCAACTGCTTTTCAGTGACATTCGTCAGCGGAATCCCCGATCCATCACCACTCCTTCCATTCTTCAAGGCCAGTGGGCGCCCTAGAACCTGGTGTCGGCACAGGGATCCGCGGCGGGTTGCCAGATACCGGAATCTTGCCGATGAATGGTATTTGTGAACTGAGCCCTCGCCAAACAGCCCGGGGGAGTGTGGGGTAAATTATTGGCCAAACAGTCTGTTTGTCACGACCCCCTGTGATGGCGGAGTCAAGCCAGCAGCATGAACCCGAGAAGCAGTCGAGTGCCGAGCGTGCTGAAAGATCTTCTCCCATTCAATGACAAAAGCAGCCCTAGTCAAGCTCCCGCCCCAGACAGAACCGGCCATTGATATATGATACGGCTACCGGCGAAATTAGTAGGGTATATAGGATAGGTCATTAGGTTATATTCAACATCCACCCTGTGTCCTACTCCTCATGAACCACTTTAGCAATGACTGCGGTATGGGTACAGTAAGAGGCGCCGCCGTCGATACTGCGAATAAGCTACCACATGAGAAAAGCAGCAGTCGTGCTCTCGGTGATTTTCAAGGCTTGTTGGGGGCGCGGGAATTTCCCACGGGCCGCTGTGTTGGGTTTCATTATGGGAATAGCCGACTCGGCCAGCATCCGACCGCCGGGCTCGCCAAACTTTTTTGGCGGAAAAAAAGGAGGGGAGGTGGAGGGGAGGGGAACCGTGCCCGGGATTCTGTGACAAACCGCAGAAGATCATCTTGACCAACCTACCGCAAAACTCTCGTGTGAGACTGATAACTTGATTGATTTGCAAATATCTCAATCCTCAGCACCCCGAGCGGGGCAGTCATCAAGAGAGAGAGCAAATAGAACAGCCGATGTTAGGTAATGAGGTTCGGGCATCTAATGTGCTGTGGCGCGTTTGACTAATTACGGTTGCATAAAATTTAGAAATCGTTGATTGTACAGCATAAAAAACAAATATTCCCTGTAGGGCACGAAGCCAATATCAGTTTGCAACCGTACGCGTTAAGACATGTTGTCCGCCTTCCAGTTTATTTTCTAACCCTTGGAAAGGCTGGTACTGAATGTTCATATCCCTTTACCAGGGAAGAGTTGTCGCGGATCTTAGTACTTTTATACGATGCAGTGAGCATAGAACTCATAGCTATTAGAGGGCTATTGCGTGAGATCACTGCACCGACTGCCCCTACTGCCCCTGGAGACGTCACGAGATGCAACCACCCTGTGTCAGGCCGGACTTCGCCCCTTATTCTTTCCTTATTCTTATTACTATTGCAGAGCCTTCGGAAGAAATCGGATAGCAAGTCTCCTTTATTGTGTTCACACACCAGTGTTGTTGCATGTGACGTCGCATTTCAGGGGCAGACCAGCAAACCGTCACATTCGTCGTTAAAGTCATCCTGTTGGAGGGTGATTTGGACTGGATAAGTGTAGATACCCTGGATTCTGGCTTCCTGAGTCCCGATCCTTGACATACCAGCTACCGTCCGTAATTTTCTGATGCGCCTTCCTCGTGTCCCGCCTATTATCATTATGGTGATTGATAATCAAATCTGGGGAATCTGGGGAAAACCGATCTGGGGAAACCTGGCTCGCTTAGCGGGACCCTTATTCGAAAGCAGTAAATCCAAGCAGAACTCTTCACGAGGCATCGGGATAGATACAAAAGGAGTGTGCCCCTGCCAATCCCTGTACCCCCCCCCCCCTGTTCTGCTCGCTTCGCATTCCTAAAACATGGGTGTACGCTCAAAGCAGTAATTTTTGATCTCGACTCTCTTTTAGATACATAAGCACCCTCTCTGGGCAGACCCTAGAACGGGTGCTAATGCAAAGAGAGAACTGTTTGGATCCCTCCTGGCCTCCCACGCTGAAAAATCGTCGATTTTGTAAGTTTTTCTTATGCCTTATTTCTTATGTACTATCTCGCGGCCCTGCGTGCATACTTGCCTTCTTGAGTATGACGCATATTTATTACTCTTGCCTAGGATATGCCTTTTGCCAAGCCTTGCGAATAGCTTTATTCTCCGCGCTTATAGCTTCCATACTATAGCACTATATCCCTGTAATATTAATGCTATAGCGTATAATTTCTTGTTTACTAAGTGAATTAATATTTAATTTCCCTTTCCTGTAAAATTAATTCTATAGTAAATAAAGCCCTATAATAAAGCCCTATAAAATAAATTCTATAAGTACTTTTTAATATTATTTTAGTAAACTAAATTCTTTTCTTTTTATATTATAGTATTATATAAAGTATTAAACTTATTAATAATAATCTTATATTAATAAGAAATAAAGAAAATCTAATATAAGTAGAATATTATTAATTTATATTTTTTACTATTTAAAAATATAAAGAATATTAATATAAATAAGATATTTTAAATTATATTTTAGCTATTACTATAAAAAGTATAAATACTAAATATAAATAAAATATAAGACTAACTTATATTATACTAGCTATAAAAGGGGATATTAAGCCTCTTATTAGTCTTATACGAGTAATAATTCTTTCTTTAGTCTTATAATATTATTAGAATATACTAAAGTATATTTTCTTATTTCTTATTTCTTATATTAATCTATATTATAGCTATTTAGTAAACTATAACTTAATCTAATTATTAAGGAAAACCTATCTAGGTAAAGGATTTATACGGATTTGTTTTATTATATACTAGAGTAGAGATAATTAATTATGAAAGTAGATATTAAATAGTAACTAGCAAATATTAGTTATATCTAGAATAATATATTTGAAATAATAATTAAGTTCTGAGAAAGTATAACTACTTAATTAGTTTATAAAGTGTGAAATTAATACCCAAAAATTAATTAATAGCTTTCTAAAAGATTTCTATTATTCTCTTACTAGATATATATATATATATACTTTAAGATACTAGACTTAAAGTCTCTCGTAATAATATAATAATACGGCCTATTTTGCGGATATCTAATATAGCTAGTAAGTTGAAATTTAGACTACTAAATTACGTAAAAGAAATAGTATTTAAATACTAATAATAGTATGCCTTCTATAACTCTCGTAGTATTAAGCCTAATTCTTTATATTAATAAATTCCCCGGGCTCCGGTATTCTCGCTATATAATTAATATAGGCTAACTAGTAATTAAATATCTATAATATGGCTCTATAACTATTTCTTATTCCTATTTAGTATATGTGTTTTATTAAGGATTAAGCTTCTTACTTTAGCTTTTTAAAATATAGTATTTTTATTTATAAAAGGTTATATTAGGGAAAAGAAAGTATATTATATTCTAGCTTATTATATTAATTATAACTATTTCCTAGTATCTAGTAAAAATTATTATTATTAGGGATTTTATTATATATATAATATAAATAAAATTAGATATATTATTTAATTATAAATATGAAAATAATTCTATTTAGAATAAAATTAGTTTTCCCTATTTTAATTATATTATTATAATTAGCTTATAATATTAATATTCCCTTATAGAGAGATTATTATAAAATTAATAAGAATATAGCTTTCTTATATAATTAAGTATTAACTAATCTGGCTCTTATTATACTTTTCCTTATATATAGAAATATTTAAGATTAAATTCTCCCAAACCAAGTAATTAAAGAATTATAATATAACTAATCTAGATATTAAGGTATTATAAAGGGCTATTTATAACCTTAATATAATTAGATTAATTATATATTATTATAAGTAATA